TATGTTTGTTCTCTGGATTAGTATATTTATAATTGCGGCTAAGAAGTTTGTGTTGGTTAAGAATTTATCCTTTTTCTGCACTTGTTTGGAGGAACAATTCCTACTGCAAAATGCAGTGTTTAGCCACGAAATTCACAAACGGAATCATGAGTCTCAAATATGAAATTCCATAGGATGCTGCTAGCCTTTTCTCTTGGACAATCCTATAAAATCAGTTCAAACACAAGAGCTATAGGCATTATTAACTTGTATGATAGATTGATCGAAAAGCTACTGAAGAGAGACTTCATTAATTAAATTTGTAAAAGTTAATGTCTCTAACATCTGACAGTGGTGTTTTGATAGCATAGTTGGGACTTTGGTTATGTAACTCCATAAATTGCTACACATTTGCATGGGAACATACTTTAATGTGTATGAAGTGCTTTCTACACGGAGATGCCTCACCTCTTGCTGATTTACGACTATTTACTCAATTCATGTTGTGAATCCCCACCTTACAGGACTACCACTTGCACCTGTCTAGCATCTATTTTTACCCTTCAGTTGGTCACAGGTTAGAGCTAGTAGATCACTTAAGAAAAAGGACTGTCATAAGTAACCTCTGTAAAAGGTTTCTAGTCTCTAAGTAATAAGGAGAGCACAGGAGCTCGAGCTTGGTAGTTAGTGAGTCTCCCTACAATCTATTGGCATCACTGGAGGGTGCTACAGGTGAAGGTTACTTTTTCTGATTGCACGCTTTTAGTAGCTCACTGCAACTGAATTATGAATAGGATCTAATCATTTTGTGGTAAAAAAGTATATTGAGTTGTTACATATGGCTGCAAGCTAGATGTCAGTATTTTCGTTTCTCCATATCATCTGTTGGTGTCATCAGACTATGGCTACCTGTGAGGAAAATTATTTCAAGTTCTCTTCTATAGCGGTTGCATCTGTTAAATTCGGGATTGAATCTCAAACTTTTATTGAACGAGTATTCTAAACTGTATCATGTGGGAGCCAATATATTCATTGACAATTCCATATTGTACATTGCATGTCTTTCTCCTATACTTGTTAATTCATCATACTGTGTAATGTTGTCTGAGTGTTGTGACTATTTGGCAGTTTTCTTTCTTCTTGTACTAGATTGGTCCCTAAATGGTATCTACTTTGTAGGGTTCTGTTTGTTCCTTGGATTTTTAATTGACCGTATGCACCATTACCTCCGAAAATTGATTGGATTGAGAAGTACAGCTGGAGCTTTGAGAAAAGAAAATGAAAGGCTTGAAAAAGATAAGCTGCAGCTTAAAGAGAAGGCCAAGAAAGCTGATGAGGAAAGAAAGGTAATGAAGAAAGAGATCTCTAACTTGACAGAGAACTTAAACAAGCTTAAGATGGAGTCTGCTGAGAAGGACAAGAAGGTTGAAACTGCAGAAGCTCATGTTGCTGCTCTTCAAAAACAAGCCGCTGATCTACTTCTGGAATATGACCGTCTTCTAGAGGATAACCAAAATCTTCAAAACCAAGCAGTAGGATACCGTGGTTGAGAGATCAGCTTCTAGCAGTTCAAATTTGGAAATTTTGGCTTTCAAAGTTGATATTGCCCATATATCAAGTGAACACGAAAGCATCATGCCTTGTCTGAGGAAAAAGTTTTGTTGGCGGAATAGAGTATACTCCTTCCCAATTCTTCAAAAGTTTTGCACTTACTGTCGGATACTATGATGCTTCATCATAGGATGTTCTTTCGCAAAACCAGATTGTCAATATTTATTAAATTGACTTGGCCATTCCTTTGAAAATGCATTCTATAACCTTTCATATGATTCAAGCAAGTCTCTAGTAAGTCTTGAAAACTTTAGCTGGAATGCGTCGTTTCTCTTTTAGTGTGAGGAACTCTTTACTGCTCGATGTTCCATTTAATATCTAATTGTTCAAGAATCCAGATGACCACAAATATTTTCTTAAGAAACATCAATTTTGCCCCGATTAATGAACAATACACTACTGAGTGTTTTTTCCCTCTGGAGGTGCTGGAGGTTCAAATTAGAAATGACAATATGGTGAAATAGTAATGGTTTTTCCCCCCTTCCTCTTCATATTGCTAAATGGAAGTCCCATTGAAGTGGGAGCACAAGTTGAATTGACACCTCTTACAAATTTCAGGTGCTGAGGGTTTTTTAATCACCTCAATCCATGTTTGCTGCTTGCCTTGGCCATATGAGCTGATGCATAAAGCAGCAGAGCAGTTAAGCAACACCATTCTAAAATTGCACCGACTTTTCACGGGTAATAACCGATCTCGATTTTTCACAGGTAAATGACCGAGTATTCCTCGCATAATCAGTCGGAACCAATTTGCACCGAGTAAAATGCAGTCACTGTAATGGTTGGGCCAAGATCAAATATGCATCTACTGCTTCCGCAGAAGTAGCTCTGGGTGAGCAGTTGATGCCCTTGGGTTAGCAGCCATGTTGCCCCGGTAGAATCCCTCCAATTACCCTCAGTGAGTATTTTCTGGTGCAAAATTTGCCGATCAGTGGGTCTATCTGAGTAATACAAATCTTCACACAACATGGATCTTGTCTGTGAGACACTGAATCAATGGCAACTCTAGGAAGACCCCGGCCCGCCGGGGGGTGGGGGATACAAAAGATGTAGAACCGGGCATATGACGGGAGTATCTGAACCAAAAAAGTCAGCTCAAGGAATTGGAATCTCGATTTGTGCTTGTCATCCTTGCGTGGTGGCCATCGGATGTCCCCGAAGGGACAATTGGATTCTGCAAAAACAGTTCCGCTTGAGAGCTATGCTAATAATAATAATAATAAGCGCCCTAGTATTCAGCTGACAAAAGTAGAGCACATGCCTGGCCTGTTGAATTTCCTTTATTTAGCATCTTAAAGACTTCATTGCCTCGTTTCATAGTTGTTGCAGAGAAGAGAACACATTCTAGGGCAACTAATCCAATTTGAAAACCAACTTTTAGAGTAGTTAGCCACTAAGAGAGCTTTAAACCTCGACTTGGATGTAGCTTTGATCCCTTGACCTGCATTTTAAAAAATCCATGCATTCCTGGAAAAGTTTGCCAGGGGGTGCGTAGGTACCCGTTTGAACCGGTGGTGGTTCAATTTCTTTTGGGTTCTCCTTAGGCTTCTTTAGGTCCCCTCCTCCTCCTATAGAGTATGAGCAGGTTTAAAATAGATTCTATCGTATCCGGAGGATAAAAAAAAAGACTAATCCAATTTGTAAGTGTAACTTTTAAGGTTGAAGGATTCTATTTGTGTAACTCCCCGAGAGAGAGAACCTTTCCAAACTCTCACAAGTCCCTGCCTCATTCTTGCACCAGGCTCTGAAATTCCCCTACTACTAAGAAGACTATTTTTAGTCCATTGCACAACTTCAAGATTTAGAAGTAAAATCAGTCTTTAACTGATTTATACCTTCACCAGTAATCACAGCATGAGCAGATTCCATCCTTGAAGTGGTGGAATCGCTTGACATCCCTCACAATAATCTCTCTCTTTGTTATTGTGGAGATGAGCTTGATCACCTCATGGCAGTCACCGCAGACTCTGAGGTTCTTCGTGATCAGCAATCTGGTTCCGGGCCCTGTGTTCAGGAGTGCAAAAGCAATTGCAAGTCTCTCACTATGGTTGCACAACATTTTCACTTTGACATTCTCTTCAAGATTGTGCAACACAAAATCAGTCTTAGGACTATAACCAAGAGCTATCATCTGCTGCTCCAATTTCTCCAAACATTACTAAATTATTTTCAATCCTAGGCATATGGTACTCGAATTCATTGGGGAAAAAGATGAAGCAGTTTTTGGGATTAAAGTTACGAGTTCGGCCTTGTTTGGGCAGTAATTTTTCAAAGAAAATTTGCTACGTTTTCTCTGTGAACATATTTTTCAATCACCTTTTTATGTCAAATATATCAAATCGTTACAATAATTTTTCTGCAAAAAATCCAAAAAAAAATTGCAATCCAAACAAGAATAGTTATTGAATGACTTCTCAATAATTGCAAGTTAGGCACAGACGATTGTAGTTAAGTAGTAGTAAGTTTTTCACTCTGCCTCATAATAACAACTAAACTTGTTAAACAATTCCCAACCGTTTAATAAGTAAAACGAAAGTATTCAGGCGTGTGAGGAAAAAATGTGGTAAATGGATGGTTAATGAAACCAATAATTTTTATTTATTTATTTATTTATTGTATTGGAGAGTGTAATTGATCTTTAATGTTGTCATGCAACTACATCTAATGTGGTCTCAAGTATTTATGTTGCCGATAGTTGAAAAAAAGGATGGGACAAAACTGAAGACCTTAGATTCTGTTAAAATAGCTCTTCCTATTTGTATTTTTTTAGGTATGAAATTATTGTTTATGTTTGTGAAGCTCTTTAACAAGCCAAGCAGTAGAAGTATCTTTCCCAGGTTGAAGGCTACCTCAGGAACCCTTAAAAACACATTTTCCTAGAGACTTCGAGAGCTGGGAACACAATTCAAAATGGTGCTTGACATGGGGGGCCTTGGCTTTGAAGAAGGATTTGATGATGAAGCGGTTGATTCCATCTGGGCTGCGATTATAGAGTGTGTACTTATCATCAAGTTGTACCTTGGTTCTCTTTTTCTTCTGATTGGGGGATGCTCAGATCATTGATGCTGTCAGCGATTCGTTAAACGCAAGTGCCACTTTCAATCTTCTTATACAAAAGTCCCTTTGCCACAGGTTCTTATATTAAAACGAGATTTACGTATGTCGTAATATAACATATTGCCATCTCCATTCTGTGATCCAATGATATCGTAAACAAAGGGGAACCAGGGAAATCAGGCTAGAGCCACATCTTGGTTTGGGTCGAGAGCTATCAGACGAAACAAATCTCTTCAAGGTTAGAACCAGGATTTGCTTATTCCCCCTGCAGGGAGAATGGGTAAAGGCTTTAAACGAAGATTGTAGCATGAAAGATGGAGATGCCAGCAGAGGCTTGACGTCCTGTTACTTGCATAATTGCATGAAAAGAATACTACTTGTATTCTCAACTGCAACAGAAATATTAACTTGACGAAATGTAGTTGCACCTTTCCCCTGCATTCCATTCCTATGTGATGTTTATGGCTGCAAATGCTGTCATCGACTCAGTTTGATTTCTCAAGTCGCGGGATTCAGACAACGCACCGAAGCAAAGAGTAAACCTTCTAAACACCAACAAGTTTTTCTCCAGTCCTTTCTTAATCTTCGTTTATGAGCCTCTACTTTCTACTACAGAATTCAGATTGAGTTCAAAGGCTTTTGTTTACAACAGTTGGTCATACTTTGTTTACAACTTCGTTACCTGAATTAATCTAACCATGAGTCCATGGCCTTCACTGTGGAGTGAAACGAAGCAATATGATCCCTCACTTCCCATGCAAACTTGGAAGAGGCTTAATCACCAGCATCAACACTCCTGCTAGCGATGCAACTGAGTTAGACTGAATTAGAACCAGATATTAAGAAATTTCAGACTTCAATCTCCTCTTGAGATTCCACACAACAAAATCCTTTCAATTCTTATTTAGGATCTTGTGGCATTCATTCTGTTTCAGTTTCTAAAGTCGTTGCTTGTATAACGATGTTGGAGCACTTTTACTTTAGGTTATTGTGCACGTGGGATCCTGAGTTACAGTTTTCTTATAACAATCACGAGTCAAGGAGCTATTCTTCATCACTTTCAAGGAAAGAGAATGGGAATATGGCATCCAGTTTAGGAGATAAAAGTGGTTTACAAAAGTTTGGCTTGGTATTTAAGCAATTCTTGATGGCAATCCAATCCAAATGACATTGAAAACCAGAGTGAAAGAAAGGCAAAAATTAAGATATTATGGCTAGATCTCCTTATTCATCATCCCCAAAGAGCTTTCATGCCTGTCCCTGCTCAAGTTACGATCCTGAGAATATAATAAGACTTAAATTACCTTGAAAACAGTCCAAAGTAAGGATTGGTAATAGCAGAGTTCAGAACTGCCCAAGCTTCTGCAAGTGTGGCCATGTCAACTTTGTCTTTGGGTAGGTACAAAAATTCTCCTCCAATTATCTCAAACCCACAGAGTTCGAGAAACTTGACACCTTCTTTAAATTTTCCTACCCTGCTCTGTTATTACAAATGAATTAATCAAGTATACAATACAGTAGATAAAAAAAAAACTTTGAATCCTACATTGTTAGTAGATAATCACGGTGCAGAAAAAAGTTTCACAAGAATTGAGTGCTATAATGGTCATACAAATTATGCAGGTGCAAAATTCCAAGGGAACATTACGTCACAGCTACCGCATTGCTTTTCTTGATATTGGTTCTTGACGATGCAACCAAACACAGAGACACAATGCACAAGCATCTCTCTCTCTCTCTCTCTCTTCCCAGAAAGTCTATGCAATGTATGAACTGAACCTAGGACTGACCGTCAAGATTCTCATGTCATGGCCATGGCTTCAGCATGAAAAGTAGAATTGCCTAAAACCACTTTGTTTGGGTGTTACTCCTAGTAAAATTAGCATCATTGCAGAAAGGATGGTAGCATAAAGAAGTCTCTCTAGTTCAATAGAGCGGAACTAAGAAAAGGAGAGACATAAATACTCCCAACTCCCTAGAATCTCGAACATTTTATCTCTTCATATATACGTTGACAACATGCAAAATTTTATGACCAAAAAGTATATTTAGTTCTTTGGTCTGGCAACATAAACCCAACTTTGCTCATTCATTATGGGGAAGAACTTGATTGTCTTTTCTAGTCCATTCAATAAGCATATTACCTGGAAAGCTGGATTACCGAGTCGAATCTTCCTAAACTTTTCATCATCAGGATTATTAGCAACATTTCTCACATAAATTAATAGAGTTTGGAAGGCCTTTTTCACTTGAGAGTCATCCCCCTGACAAACAAAATTAGCACAAGTAGGCTGATAAGCAGAAACAGTAAATCCAACTGCTGCGTAACACAAGATGATAAAAGATTTCATCTAGGACACTTCACTCTTTTTTCATCAATTAAGACAAGATAGAACTTGAAGTTGTTTACAATCAACTTTCAATCAAAATGAAATCAAAACAGTTTTTGCCTACCATGACTTGACGCTTGAGAGATCTCAGACATTCCCTCATCAGATCCTCCTTCCTAGCAGAAACAGTCAACAAAGCAGGCTTACCCAGCTCTAAGTTCTACAGTTGAAATGGGAAAGAAAGGCATAATGAGCCCAAAATATATAAAATGCAAAAGTATAACCAAACACGTGTGTTATTCCAAATACAGATACCTTGCTTTCATGTGAAAAGGATATGGCAGGGTTTACAGATAAAGGGCCTTCCACAGGCAATCCAAGCCACCCCCTTCTTTCTGCCTGGAAACACATATTTCATGTTACATCTTACCATCAAATGGCAACAATGGCTTCAAAACATCTAATATTTAGTTAACACGTTCTACTACTTCCAAAACTCATATGAACGAGTTGAGAGATCATTGGGACTTAACGCTGACAAGGACAATAGTATTAAGGGTCACAGAAAGTAGTTTGAGTCAGAAATGGCATAGGTGTTTTGAAACTTTTTCTTAATTGACAAGCATAATGAGAAGACACAATAATGAATTCAAGAACATCAAATTTGACAGGATAACAAAACAAAATGGAAATCAGGCTGTAATTGTTGCACAATAATTTGAAGATTCCAAAACTTTCAAAACTGGAAAAGTCTAACTCTACCTTATCCTGTTGCAGCTTCTGACGGACTCTTTCCCTTGCCCTTCTCTTTTCTTCCACGTCTGCTTTCCTCTGAGCTACATTACTGAGATTTATAAAGATAACAAAAAGAATAATAACTGTCAAGAATCAAAAGCCTCATTAGAAGCACCAGAAGTTCATAAGTAATATCTCAATGAGCATAGGACAGACCGCTTTCTTTCATTTTCTTCTGCCATTCGCTTTGCCACTTGCAGCCCTTTACCTGCTCTAATCCTTTCCTGCAACTCATCAGACAGCTTACTGTTACCAGCACAACAATTCTAAACATAAAGTGAAGAAATGTTCTTAAAAACTCTTCCTCAGGTATTTGTGTCAAAATACCAATTTGTTAGTTCATGCACACTAGTCTTGAAATTGACTGATGTCTGATGTTAAGGAATACAGAAACTGAGATATTACTCAACCCTTCCACAAACCCCACATTTCCTCTGTTTTTTTTAGTTCTCGTTCATTGGTAAGACCATAATGATGTTCAATGTATATAATTCTCTTGTGACATTGGCAGCGAACTTGGGGGCTTGGTTAAAAGATGAGAAGGGAACTCCAGAAGAATGATAGCCATAATCAGCTTTTAATAGGCAAAATCTTCCAGAGCACTTGAGAATGGCTCTTTATATGTCAAAACCTCGAACCCATGCACACACCCAACATATGCAGACATGCCCAACACATGCAACATATGCACGCACCCAACAATTTACCTCCTATGAACATATAGCATAAATGTCAGACAAATACACAAGGACACACACACATCCAGGGGCACAGAGTAATGTGTGGCTTGATAGAATGCTTTGTCAAAGCATATCCCTTGATGCCAAAGCAAAAGCAAGCACAGGCATAGAGAGCCAACTTCTAAGAAGTCTAAACTGTATGTTAAAGGAGAAGTCAGCGACCCTATGCTAACTTTTAGTCTACATATGAAAGGGGAAAATCACTGAAACTATATGACATGAACCTTTTTGAAGGACTGAATATGCTTAGCAAGTATTGCCTAAAAGATAAAATGCATTCTGATAAGGAACTTATCGATGGTCAAGATGTCATAGCAGGAGAGGCTTGAAGTATTCAAACAGGAATCAATGGCACCCACAGAATATGGGGCCAAAAATTGCAGTAGTGACTGCTAGCAAAATATGAACTTATCTTAAAGTACCTTCTCCCGGCTTCTTTCCAGTTTCTTCTCTTCCACTTCTCTATTTTTACGCACCTGATCGCTGAATTTTAGATGGTAAAGACTGAAAGTCAAATTTTGCATCTTAATAAACTGAGCCTGGCAAGAGGTTAAAAGTCATTAAAGAAGTGAACAAGACTCAAGAAAGTTGGTAATCTTTTCTTCTTCTTATTTATTAGTTTATTGATTTATTTAAATATTTTTGATGGGGGACAGCAGAAAAAGAAAACCTTATTTCCGGTGCTTTCAGCTTCATTTCTTCGGAGATGAAAAATGGATCAGAAGCTTCAATAGGGATATCCACAGGAACCTGAGCAGACTTTTGGCATGAGCATGTACAAATTATAAAGTAATTAAGCACGCTCCGGAGATTAAGCCGCTTTATCCATATATCAGATGAAGCCTCATACCAAAACATACACAATAAGGAAGCGACTCCAATCAGAGTAGCTTTTTAGATACCGGTAGCAAGCACTGCTCTAAATGCATGTAAAGCACTCCCACTCATTACAGTAGACATTTAGCCAAAGAAGGTTGAGACGTAAATCCAGATCTTCACATTCTCAGGTAGGTTTTGGGGTAAAATCAAATTTATAAACAGTTTCGAAAACATTTGTCCGAGAGAGAAATGGCACACTAAGGATGAGACAAACTGCACTCAACATGAATTACAGACTAGGCTAGGTGTAAAAATGAAGAGACATACCAAGGGCATCTCGTCAATGTCAGCATCATTCTCATGATCGATTATCCAATTTATTGCAGCCTCGACACTTGAATTACCTGAAAATTTAGCTCTCCTACTTGTGAATTGGATAATAAGTATGCAATCTAACTGTTAAGTACGTATCCTTTTTCTTTTTCAAAATTATGCTCCAGTGCAACACCACTGCACGTCTAAAAGTCCAAATCCAGCAAGTTAATTTTCAGAACAAAAGAACCTACCTGAATAATGAAGAGCCCTAGTGGCCCGAGCCTCCGGGAATCCCATTTCCTCGAGTTCGCAAAGCAGTTTCTTGTCAACCCCCGGAACAGCCATTCTTGATAAACAGAAGGGGCTTCCGAATTTGAATTGAGAATGAGGAAGTAAGGATTAAATGCTCTCGGGCATTTTGTGCGTCGCCGTCTTCTGCGAAGTTCGGGAAACTGTTAAAGGAAAGCCCGGAAACCAGGGTCGAGCAGAAGACCGCCATTACAAGTTTAAGAGATGCTCTGATTCTTTATCCTTCTCCGAAACTTGAAGCCAAAATCTTCTGTAAGGTTGCTTTCCTCTCTACCTTTTATCGTATGTTGCTTGGCGCGGATCATGAATCTTCCTTTCATTTATTTTTATAGTCGTAATAAATAAGAAAGCAGATGAGCTGCAAATAGGATATCCGGTCCCGGGCGCTTTTGTGAACCGGTGCTTTTCTTTTTGTAAATATTTTAAAAAAAAAAAAACTATTTGGTTCAAAATTTTTAAAACTTTGCTCTACTTATTTACTAGTTAGTTGTTTCTCCATTTCCCTCGAATTTGGAAAAGAAAAAGTTCTTCAAAGCTTTGACATCACCCCAATTTTCCTCTATTCTTTTTATTATTTACTTTCTCTCAGCAAATTTTGAATTGGAGTGGGAAAAAGGAAAGAAAAAAAAAAGAAAATATTCATCTATCTTCCCTCTTTTTTTTTTTTTTTATTCCAAATTACAGTTCCAAAAGCGCTAGCACCATAGTGCAATGACTTGCGGCATCACTACACCAACGATCAGCTTGACAAAATTAAATTTGATTAAGAAAAAAAAAAGCTTTCTACTACATAGATTAGTACAAGAAAAGGATCTTAATTTTTTTTGACAAAATATCTTTACAATAATAATGTTTGTGTAGGCAGTTAATTTGGTGTTAATTTTATATATTTTCAAATTTATCCTGATCTCTATTATTCATTAACTCTTATCTATATAATATATATATAAAAAAAAGAGCGTCATTGTGTGATATAAACATATAGTGTTATAATCATTCTTTAAAATTTCTAATATACCCTTAATTATAAAGGTAAAATTGTCTCAATTGCATATAGTTATTTGAATCAAAAGATAGTTATCTATTCAGTTATCAACTAACTATTACTTCCTCCTTATGCTAACTTCTAACTCCCACATATTCTTCTCTACTTCCATCATTTCCGTTTCGAGTATAATTATCTACATTATAATGGATTTTATTTGGACCCATAAAATCCATTAAAAAAAACATTTTGAAGATATAATTGTGATAAATATATTTTTTGTTAATTGTACAAGCATTAGAGTGCGCCATAAGCAGTGGTACTAATAAACAAGTGCTGCTGTGCTTTCCTCAGTTATCTAGATTATTTTTATTACATTATTTGGTGTATAATTATATTCTATTAATATTATATTTGCTTAAAGAAAAAAATTAATTACTCAACATACATTTGGTACAAAAAAAAAGGAAAAAAATAGCATGAATGCTATAGCAAACATGAGAAGTGAGTTGTGAACGCCGTGTCATCACGGTAAACCCCCGAACAGGGTCTGGTAGAGGTTCTCTATTAATGCTTAATCAATAGGGCCAGGCCAGAGAGAGTCCATTCCTTCGCTGTCCAAAGATGTTCGCATTAAAGGAGCAGAATCTTAGATGGGCCAAGAGAAACACGCGGACCCGGGAAACCGCCCAGCCCATGACAATCATGGAGTAGCAGACATCATAAATCCCCAGAGACACTTCCAGAAAGAAATGGAAGTCGGAAAAAGAAATACTGGAAAGTAGTAGTAGTAGCCTATCTAATGCTACTGTTAGAAAGGAAACACCCTGCAACAATTCAGCGATCATCCACGTCTGATGCTGATGCTGGCAGCCAAAGCCCAACTCGTGGAGAAGAATGGCACCACCGGTACGAGAACAAGTGATCTAAATCTTGACTGGTATCCACATGGTTACTAGAGAAGCATAGGAGCAGTACAATATCTTGTTCAAGAAAGAAGGAGGAGAAGAAGAAGAAGAAGGGGAAAAAACATGGCAGGTGGAGAGGGGAAGAGAAACATAAAGATATTCTGCCCTTCAGCATCCAAGATTATTGAATTGGTAGCGTGGGATGAGCAAAGACTGGACCTTGGTTCCATTGCTAGAGCCTTTGGCCTCGAACCCAATACTCTAAAGCTGAATGGCCACTTCATAAGCAGGGGCGTCGACCTTATTGCCTGCTCTGTCACCTGGAAATCTCTTCTTTCTTTCTTTTCCTCTAGGGGTTTGTCCACTGGCACCACCGACTCCGATGCCCTCATTGTTGATGGAAAGCTCTCCAAACTCGGCTCCAAGAGTAAGTTCTTGATTGTTGTCACTCTTCTTTACGCTCGCCCCTCCCCACATCCTTTTAACTACAGTACTATTAGTGGGCTGTGATGGAAAACTTTTTTATTTTTCTTGCATATGAGACGAAGGTAAGAGTAGATAGCGTCTAAAGAATAGGTTTCAGAAGTACCCGTTCTCTCCATTTTTTCTACAGCGATGCTATGGAAATTGATTTCTCTTGTGCAAGAATTGCACTTGTTATTGAATCACGCCACTACAGAATGCTGTAATGTGAATTGCAAATGGTTACCTGTAGGCTGTAGTGATCAAGCAGCAGTTAGCAATTGCCAGGTTTACAGAGAGTTGTTTGCAACATATTCGTGCACTCTATTTTGTGTTATGGGGTCAGGTCTCTGTTTCTCCCCCATTTAATCGATCTACTTTCCAAATTGGGAAACAATATCCAGGAAAGCATGAGCTGTCAGATCTTGGAAATGGGACAAAGCCGAATGGAGTTGGTGGTCATTGCAAAGATCTGCAGCTTGGGCACATTGATTTGTTCAGCAGCAAAAGATCTAAAGATGGCACTGCAGGTAATTTTGGTACATTATGGCACTTCCTTAAAAGATTCCAATTTCAAGTGCCTGGTCCTCTGAAGCATTCCTTATTAGTAACCTTTTGACTGTTTCTTCAGGATTTCTTAACAGGATAGATAAATTGACTGGATTTAACTGCTTGAGCCTGAAGAGAAAATTATCATCAAGGGATACAAGTCCATTGAAGAGGACAAGAGTAAATGAGACCAAGTCAGGTATTCAGCATTATTTGCCATTCAAATACTGAAACAATAATATGTCTGTTGAATCAAAATGAATATGGTTTGTTTTTTTTCCTGCCTCTTGCATTTAAATGGTGTAGATCTTGAGTCTATCAGCTCAAAGAATCCGAGTAACTTCAAATGAAGTTTCATAATGAAAATTAGTGGCCCTTTCTTCAGGTCTTCAAGAAAGAAATGATGGCCGATCTCAAAGTGTTCTGAATGGTCGTCAATTTTCTTGCAGTATTGCGGGTAATAGAATGAAGAGGCTGAGAGAAGACAGTCTGGTTCTTGCTGCACCTCACAAGAGGTTAAGATGATGATTAAGCTGAAATTGCTAACCAAAAGTTTCCCAGGATACACTTGATGCTTACCGATGTTGTTTCTTGCTTCATGGCTGGACGCATCTTTATAGATCGTAAAACAGCAGTGCTTCTACAAGGTTCATACATCATCGTGATGGAATAAAGCAACAGCTGTAGCTGGATTCCTGAGACAAAATGATTTTCATGAACCTTCATTGTTGATATCCGACCAAGCAGGAGTTGAATGTCAAATGTCAATTGGATCCCTCAGTTTCCCTTCTGATGCTCATTTCTGTGTAGTTACTGTATGTAAGATATTGTGTAGTGAAGCATTGCATGTATAATTGATTGACATGATCACGTGTGTATCTTAATTGACAAGGTCACAATCGGTTTAAAATTCTTGAGTTTGTTGTATTAATTTTCTTTTGATAAAAATTAGAACTGTAGGGGGCGGATTGAACCAAATTGAAGTTCGGACGGACTGATGTGAAAAGGAAATTACTTGTCGCTGTGCTTTCTAATTAATCCTTTAAAATACTCTGTTTGTTTCAATGCCTGAATTAAAGGGCAAAAGTGAAACTGAAGCATAGTGCATTAATGCGCAGATCAATTGTACCAAGGACCTTGACAACTTCGTAAGAACATCCAACAACAATAATATAATTCCCATTCTTTCTCGCCGAAGTGGCACCAATGGCTCATGAGAACTCCGCTGAAAGTGGATAGGCATAAAATTAAATGCAGTACGAAGCAGATAACTAAGGATTTGGCTATTGAAATTTCCAACTGATGACAATTTTACAGCCATAGAGAACAGGATTAGTTGGTAAGTAACACGAAACTGACAAAAAACTCCTAAGCGATAATCTCATCTGTGTAATCTCTAAATACACATTGTATACAAGAAGCCTCATGGCTTGAACTTGTGGTCAACCTGAATAATATTGCCAAGCAACAGCAAGACCAGCAACTAGCAGGACTTTCAAAATGAGCTTACGGTTAAAAAAGGATGCAGAAGATGAGGATTGTTCGGGTGGTTCCCACGGTTTTCCCCTCAATTTCGCAGACAACCTTGCTAGAAGGGAGCTTAGTTTACCTGTTTCCTTGGTGGCTGCAGAAAGGGTTGCACAAGGTAAACGATTTCAGCAGGGACAAATGCAGATGAGCATGAATCAAAAGAAGAAAAATGCCCAATCCTTTTCCGCAGCTAGAAGTATAAGATTGAAGTCATGTGGCAACAAAACCACGCATTGTGACATTAGTACTACTGAATCTTTCTGAGAGAGTTCCATCTTTGTAAAGTTTACAGAGTCAAATCTTTCTGAGAGAGTTCCATCTTTGTAAAGTTTACAGAGTCTGACATTTCTTAGATTTGGTTAAACACCTTCTTGGTCTCTCTATATATCTTTTAATTCAGCTTCACCTCTGGAATTAAAAGCCATGTGATATTGAATTCAATCTTTCTTGCTAAACAGAACACACGTGTCAAACCAAGACACTTTCAATAGATCAGGTCAAAAAAATATTTATCTATAGTTTTCCAGACTCAGTCTGTAGTAACGTGAGCCTCACTTTTGTACTTGCAACTATATTTTCGGCACATAACTACATAATTCTTGCACATGAAATTAAATATTCCTAGTTTCTGTTTTTAAAGAAAAAAAATCTCAAAAAAGCTTATTCTGCATTCACAAATAATTTAGAAGATGCGTTACCTTTGGTTTTCAACAGCCTTCCTTCCTCACCCACACGCCTTCTTAATGCATTAAGCAGAGACCCAAAATACAAGGCAAAAACTGTGCACGTGATTGTGATAACGTTGTAAGGCATGCTGAAATCAGGAGTTGTCAAAGGCACTAGCAATACTTCTGTATAGGAAACAACTCTGCTCTTGTCCTGCTTAGAGTGTTCAAATGGTCAGGAAAATAAATTAAAAAAGACAACGCACAATGGCACCTAAGAATCAACATTGCATACTAACACCTATACCTGTAGCTTAGACAACAAAGGAATATTGTGCAAGTAATCATCATCTGCAAATTGTATGCTTGTCTCAAAGTCACCAAAGACCACTACAGCTGAAGGAATGTCAAATCCCTGATTAGCATCTGGAGGATACTCATCAATGTGCAGAAACCCCTGCAGGAATACATACAAAGCCAATGACGATACAAGGCTAATTAATATCCTCGTTAGTCTTTAAAATGATTTACCTAAATTAATACTTAAGTGGCTCTTTCCTACTTCTGTTTCAGACTCGATTCATGTGTACCCTAAATTATCCAAGATAACTTTGCTTTAAAAAAATCGCATTTAAATCATGAAGCATACCTTATCAAACTCTACAGTCAATGCTGCCGATCTGACTCCACAAGGTAGTTTCAACGTCAGTTCCATTACACCAGGTGAGACCTTGTCTTCAGAAGGTAAGACGTGCATCCTCTCTACAGCATTTGCAACAGTTTGAAATCGTTCGTCTATGAATATTTTCAGCGTGTGATAGTATACCTTCACATACCAAGGCACAACTTGGAAAACATCAACCCTCAACCAACATTCACTTGCACTACTATCAGCAGTTTGCATACATTCACTCATTCTAGTAGACATCAATGAAATCGCTATAGAACCCCTCTCATTACCACTTCCCATTAGGTATCTGCTGACACTTAGGGGTGCTTGTTGGCATGACCAAACTAAGGGTAACTTCCATCTGAATTCCAAGTCAAAGGGTTTTAAATCGCTATAGTTCTCAACAGAAAATTGATGCAGGATAGACAAGCTTCCAGTATCAAATCTATCCACTTCCCTGATTTGTCTATCTGGGGGAATTGATAACTCAAAACCTCGATCACCCACGAAGTTCTGAGAGATATCAACCTCATGGTGAGACCCTTTATCACCATTTCCAGTATCATTTCCTAGTTTTATAAGTTGAGATACCAAATTCTGCTCCAATTGAACATAAACATTGCTGGATTTAGAAAGAACACACCTTTCACCAACTTTCCGGCCAAACAGTGAACTCAGTGACCAACTTGGTTGCAGTGTTGATCCACTTGAAAATATTGCACCAGTTCCTTTTATATTTGGCTGAAGAACAATGGTAAGAGTTTGGTCAAGTACTATTCCAGATATTAATCCATTGGAATCAAATTCATTAGACGTCAAATGCAGCCGCTGAGAGTGATAATAACCTCTGTAGATGGAGGGTCGGTCCATCAATGTAGAAAGCCCAGCTTTGTCTCTACAAGGAAGCAACTTCAACCAAGGAGTGAGGTTCTCAGTGCAAACAGCCTCCCGAGGCAAAGTTCCGTACTTTAAGTAGCCACCAGATGACCTGAAACTCCATTCAGGAGTGGAATATGCCGTTGAGTGCTCAAGGAAATTGATTGAAGCACAAAAGAGACCTGAGAGTGCATGGGTTAAATTTTTCCAGGAAGCATCAACCTGATGTTGGGGCACATCAAAAACAGCCCAAAGTTCAACCCCAGGAGGCTTGGCATTGCTGCTTGATATGGGGTCATATCCACCCCAGCGCTCATAATTCCAGCGACCTTGTGTAAATGACAATTCCATTTCCCGTAAATGAAATTTTTGAACCTGCACCAGTGAACTGCTGTTGTTTACATATTATGGACTACATAAAATCCAAAATTAGCAACATTCTCCATGACCAAGACAGAGAGTGCGAACTTTAGGTTTCAAAGGTAAAATGCTACAGTAGAATTTACTATGTGGCGACGGTACTAACAAGGATGGAATCACAGACGTGGAGCTAAAAACATGAGATGTCATATGAAGACATCCTAACAAGCATGCCACTACTAGCTGTCAAAACAGTCTGAGATTATAAAGGGCCGAAGTTTCATTCATTCTCATACGCACAAGTGGCCCTTCGACTGATCTATTTAATCACCCTATGCTTCACTATTCAAGAAGGAAACTTGAATCCGGAATTCACTTCTCGAGACATTTTGAAATACAGAAACCTTTGCAATCAGTTGCATACACAAAAGTGAAGAGAGATAGTAGGAGACACGACAACTTGCGCATTCCAATCCTTGATGACTAGTGCAAAACTTGAATCCTTGCTGTTTCCTTCGTAAACCTTTTAGCCCTTCCAACTTAAATTTCCCTAACTAGCTATTCCAAGATTAATCTATTAAGCAGATTTTGGATTCAAATAAATGAGTCCATTGCATCATAAATCTAAATCCAACATGTTGTCCAATTGCAACAAGAAGACATGCATACTTCTTAAAGCTCGTATAATCCCGAAAGCCATAGTTGCAAAATAAGGGGGAAAAAACTCAATACTCAAGAAAGAGACATAAAATCAACAAAACCCAGAAAGACGAGATAAAAATTCACCAGTTGATAAATGGATTTGGGGAAGAGATGGTGGTGGCGGCCATATGAGTTAGTAGGAGGCACCGCGCTTTGAAAGTGAAAATGGGCTAGCACCTTCCGGTCAGGTAATGGCCTCAAAAGCAATGCTTCCGAGAACCCTTCATTTTCTCCTACTTCTGCTCTAGCTAAAGAAGTTTCATAGGCAAAGAATAGTAAAACAAACAGAAATATCGATCTTACACCCGTCATCTGGCAGGGCCTATTATCAGGTGGGCTTTTGGTAATTGCTATCACCACCTTCTAGCAGTGGCATCGGAGTGAGGAAGAGACAGAGGTTTCAGCCACCGACACTTTGACTTAAGACTGTGTCATCTTCCCCAAGCCAATTAAAGCTTGCTTAGAAAATGGCGAAGCAAACAGGGTGCAGATCAAGTTCCGAAAAAAGGAAGGAAATTTTCCTCAAAAAAAAAGGGGGAGGCGGGGGGGACGCAAAAGGAAGGTGTTTGTGGGGGGTGATCTTGGGCTGGATCTGTTCACTTTTGGGCTTGATCTAATTATTGGCGGATTTTATCTTTCGTTCACGTTGATTGGGTTTTAACTTCGTTAAAGTGAATAGATGGGAAGTGAAAAGGCCAGTGGGGAAGTGGACCGAAATCTATGACCATTCGGACATATTTGACTTTTCAAGTGGAATTAATTTTTGCTGAAAAGTATTTAATTTGTGGCAATTGAACCTTTTGGATTTCTTTTCATTTTATTCCCTCAAGCAAAAGATACCAACAGTTTGCGCAAGTATTCAAGACAACAACCCTCAAAGGCAACTTCACGACATAGAGGCTAAGTTGGATGGTTTTTTACTGGTTTTTGAGAAAATTTGCAAGGTGATCAAAGAAACTTTGGCACCCCCGCGTGAATGGTCCAGCGGCAGCGCCTCTCACCAGTGAACCTTAAGGTCACAAGTTCGAGTCTCCGTTCTGCTGGATTCCTCCGTGCACTTAACGTATTCGGGTCGGATTGGGGCGCCGGGCCTAGGCCACAGGAAATTAGTCGGGCCCTGTAAGGATTGACCCGGACACTCCTGTGTCGACAAAAAAAAAAAAAATCAAAGAAACTTTGGCCGAAGATATTTTCACTTGAACTGTGCTAGGAAAAATTTAACCCAAAACGACCAAGGTCTAAAATCATAATTTCCACAAACTCTAACTGGTGAGACGTAGCATCATATATAATTCTTCTAATGGTTGTAACAAATCAAATCCGTCCCAATAATTAATCAATCATACTATAGTATAATTAATTTCTTTTTGAAGTTCCTCTTGCTAACTTGATTGAAGATCACTCATAAGTGTTGCTACTACACTCGAGAGGAGGAACAGCATATCTATTCCTGTCGCTGCAATAATCATAGTTCATATACTTATTTCTCACTGCTTCCATTGCTTTCATCTGATTGGAATCCAACTTCCAAAATTTCCTTTGGTTCCACCAATAATTAGGGGACTGACAGCGCTGAATATCCATATTCTGATTATCAGTTAATGGGCAGCCATCAACGTTGAAGTCTTGGTAGGATGCTATGAATGGTGCTTGAGACCAATCAGTCTTTGTTTTGCCCCCATCTGTCGCCCAACCATCTCCATCCCACAAGCTTGCCAGTATTTGCATTGGCTGTGACGGGTAGCCTACACCCGAGGCTGTGTTGTTCTTGTATATGCGGATAGGAATGTTGTCAACATAAAACCTGAGAAACCAATAAATCATAATCAATATGCAATCAGGGTTCTTGAATCTTGACCTTTTTTTTTTTTTTAATTTAAGTCACAGAAAAAAGTTGCATTCTAGTTCAGATAATTTCTCACTTAGAAATATATATGCTGGCATGCATTGAAGAATACACAGGTAGTATACTATATATATACATGCATAGGAGTCAAAGCGGGGTAGGGTTTCTTACACTATATGATACGGGTTCCAGAGTATTTGATAGGAATGAAAATCTGCCGTTGGATCGAACCACAGAAGTGTCCTCTCTTCTCTACCTCCAACCCCGCGTGCAAATACGTTTGTCTGTAATGCATAAGGTTTCCCTTCCTTGTTGCCCAGAAACTCAAAATCCACCTCGTCGTGAGCATATTGGCTATTCGAACTCAGCTGTATCACACGAGTAAAAGAACAGAGAAATCAAAAAGTATAAAGAGAAAACAATCACTCTTTTTGTTCAACTCTTCTAAATTTTCAAGAAGATTGTGAACTGATCATGATGCATTCAGCCCTTACGTAGAAAGTTGTAACTACTCCTGCAGAATCCTTGTTTGGGACCTTTATCCTCATGTCAAAGAAGCCTGATCCGTAGTTCACCTTGGAGCCAAAGCCAGCCCCTATTGTATATACATCGATCAAACAGCCAAATTAATGTTATAGTACCAAACCACATCAAACCTTAACCCAACTATATTATAATAATAACAATAAACACTCACACAACTTCTCGTTGTTCCTGATATATAAATACATACGTACATATAGATCCAAAAAAAAAAAACACACACACACACACACGCAGAGAGTTGTGGTGCGAAGATATTATATATATATCCAACAAAAACTTGATATAATAATAAAGGGCGGCACCCCTACACATCCACCGCACTTTTTCATGCATGGAAAATTTTCATAAGAAATCACAGAAAACAGATGGTGATTAAGAGAAAGTTTACCAGAGTGCACGTCCATTGAAAGCTGAAGTTGTGTTCCTTGATTGAAGAAGGCGACATGGTCGTTCCCATAAGTAATTCTGTAGTTGTCATCAAACGGTACGTCTTTGGCTGTAGAAGGCAGAAGTAGTACTCCACAGAGAAGGAGCACGACAACGAGATCCGTCATCAGTTGCTGATGAGAATACATGACTTGTATGTATCTAAGTTGAAGCTTGTAACTGTGCTGCTGCGGATTCTTGATGAGCATATATATATATATACACATATAGCTAGGGTTTCACGTAGTTATGTAAGATTATTAGGGAGGTTGGGATGTTAAACAAGAAAGCAATTATTACTACATAGTATCAAATAAAGAAGTTTATGTGCAGATTTGGAAATTTTATTTCAGTCGAGTTCTTTTAGGTAGTTGACTAATTCAAATTCTAAACTTTCCTACGTCAGATTCTTGTGATTAACTTTTTTAATTCATGTTTGTCTTGCTTTTCTTTTTTGGAAGCAATTCTTTCCTATTCCAAAACTCTTGTTGCTTAAATTCGAAGAAATTGTGTTACATTTCTAATCTTTAATTAGAGAAAGAAGTAGAAAAAAAAAATCCAATATAGATTTGATTGTTTGATTGATTTGTGGTGAGCTTGTTGATTTCCTCCCCATTAATTTGTTATAGTTGTGTAAAAAATTCTCCTCAACTCTAATATTCCACTAATACTATCAGAGCTGATCAAAAGACTATTACCAATACGTAAGAAAAGGACACGCACCAGGTTTATTGGCGGGCTCGAGCAGTGTGAGCGATGATCATCTTGTATCTATCCCACACGCTAGTGGCTTCTCCATCCTGTCGTCCTCACCCATAACGGCCAGGCCCCCGTCATGCTTCGCAGTTTGCTCCTCTGGGCATTTACTTCAGAAATAATTCTTGGTGTTTTCGCAGGCTTTTTAGCAAATATAATGATCCTTGATAGACAGAAGTCACAAAAAGTGAACTCAACTTCATTTCTGATTAGGGGTGGCAATTCCTGACACGATCCGAAAACACGATACGAAATTAATGGATTTGGGTTGAGATTTCGAGAGTTCGAGTCAGAATCGGGTCGAACCCGGTGAACCCGAAAAGAAAACAGATCAATTTCGGGTCAACCCGTGGTGACCTGATATGACCCGATGTGACCCGTTTACGAATTAAAACTAATTTAATAAACATAAAAATTATTTTATCTAACTAAACTAAATCATTCTTTTTTTCCAAAGGCATTAATTACTTAATCCTAAATGAATTTATTTAACTTGTGTGAAGTTAAAATTATTATATTTGAATAAATAATATATTATGTTATTTTTTACTTTTATGCTGTTTTAATTTATTTTATATTTGGTTTGGGATAAAACACTTTTATGGTGTTTAATTTATTTTAGATTTGGTTTGAAATTATTTATTTAAATTTTTATTACTTGATGATGTAATTAATTTTGTGAAAAATTGATTTTATTAGAAATTACAGTGATAAATTAATAAATTAAAATTAAGTTTCGGGTCATTTCGGGTCGACTCGCCAACCCGAAATTTTCGGGTTCGTGTCCGGTACTCTTACCCGTTTCGAGTTGGTGGGTCGGGTTCGGATCAGCAGGTTCTTTGTTATACTTAAGCCTCAACCCGACCCGCCAACCCGAACCCGACCCGATTGCCACCCCTATTTCTGATCCACTAGCCAAGGGGTGATGTAATTAGTAATTACTATTGGAAGGGAAGGACTAGTAGAATTTTAAAACCCTATACCCGAATTCCTTTTCTTGGCCTTTCCAAATCTCATTTATTATGCGCTAGAAGTTTAATTTGTACGTAGATTTCTGGATTGATTTTATACTAGTACTTGAAGGGCCGGATAACTTTTTACGGTAAACAATTCGATATAGGAATTGGCATTTAAATGTCAAATGAGTCAAGTCAACTAAACATTGAAATTTAGATCACTCGATTTGTCAAAAATATACAGATGAAGGATATATATAATCCCAGGTACTGTCACGAGTCATATCCCACACTTCTTGAGAGTGCAGGTGGAATTTAATCCGAAACCTTGAAAAAGCTAGAGATCGAATTACACAACGCCAAGAAAGGTAAAGGGAAACGCCCCAAAATGCAAAGTTGCACTCGATAGATATAGCTTGGTGAAACGGGGAAGCTGCCCTGCATCTTTTATTGAGGTTACTTTTGCTGGGATCTGCCTTCAAGTGCAAGAGAAGGTCAGATTATCTACCTCTAATGCAATTGCGATCAAATAATTATACTAATATACATATCATCTCAAGGTACTTTGACTTGGAGATCTAGAAAAAGAATGGCAATTGGGAAGTGCTTCCGTTTTGGGGCTTACATATATCGGATCTGGTCATCAGGGGCGAACTATTCTGGCTGGACAGCCGAAATTTTTTTTTTTTTTTTTTTTTTGTCCATACGATAGCTGCTTACATTATGGAAAGTGGGAGGACCTAAAGAGGTTTTAGGATAACTCGGAAGAGACTGAACTACCACCGAACCAAACAAGTGCACCATACACCCGCCTGAATTTTTTTAAACAATGTCACATTTAATTGTGGCAATTGGTGGGAGGAAAAGTTTGAACCCTTGTCACCCACCCCACCAAGTCTTAATGCATTGGTGGTGGTCATCAGCCCAAAGGCTGGTGGTTGGAAAGCCAAAATACAACCAGGCGGGCCCAAGAAATAACGATGTTCATTAGCCAACAACCATTTGGTCAGTTAGTCATCATCAAAACTTTAAGTTTTTATTGTCGATGGAAAATCAAGAGTTCAACTTTGTCTTCCACTAGCCACTATTTGTGGCTTCTTTCTCCCCTTTCTCTAGATTAAAATAGAGTAGTTTATACAAATGATATCGTTGCTAAAAAAAAATAACGATATTCGCTAGAGCAACTTTTACATGTATCCCGCTGGGTGTTTTCTTGTTCATTTGTGCAACTTTTACATATACTCCGGCCAGGTGATATGTGAGGCTCATTTGGATTGCAAATTTTTTAAGAGTTTTTATTCAAAAAAAAAAATGGTATACTGTGGTTATACAGTAAGAAGGTAATTGAGAGATATATGAAGGAAATTTTTTCACGAAAGCATGTGATCCAGACAAGGCCTAAGTCACTATTTCATCTTCAACCAACCACCAGTCGATGTTTTCTTGTATCATATGGCAATTGCGTAGCATAAAAAACAGGTACAATAGCTCATTGCAATGCGGAAAAAGAAGGAAAACAAAATGGAAACATAAAATTTCTTAACCAGCTGATATCACATTGTAATTTGAAAATAATACTAATTAGGGTAACAAAACCTGAAGAACGAAAAACTTCCTTACAGGGCATTTGAAGTTGATATTACAACTTACGGGGCTAAACTAAACACTACTATCATTGATGGGAATTTTTTGATAAGCATGGGCTGTTCGTCACTAGCTGCAATGCATGGCTTGAAGTTCTGTTGAAGATGAGTTTGATTTGGTTGCACGTAAAGTTTGGAGTGGTGGTGCTTATCGGAGCGAAGTTAGCTTGATATTATAATGATATCCTACGTTAGAAAATGTCACGTCATAATAATTAATGTTTCGTAAGTTTTAAAAAAAAAGGTAATTTTAAGTTTTGGAAAAACTTGAATTAAGGAAAATTTTTAGTTTCATTAAGTTTTCTTATATATGCACTTGTGAAAAGTTTTCTCATTAATTTTTCCCTTCACATCTATTCCTTCAATCCACTCTACTAATTTACATTCTTTTATCAATTTTAGTGGACTTCATTGACAACTTCAATTTTATTTTGCTAAAACAAAAAAAAAAACTTCAATTATATTTTGTAAATTCTGGCATATTTAATGAAAATTAGCGAGTCCAACAATTGACAATATTATATGGAGTACTAACTTGCATGCATTATAATTTTTTTTTAGATAGTTTTTTCGTGTTTGCTTAAACAGACCATTTGAATCCCACGAGTTTTAAACACAATAACTCAACTGAATCAAATTAAATTCATATGTTAATGTATCACATGAGTCTTGAACACAATAACCCAACTGAATCAGAATCCATGTGATGTGTGCCCTGCTAGCGCGTCTTTGTTTTCCTGGCATAAGTTTTGTTTTAATGCAATTTAGACCCACAGGCACCTGGCCGGCGACAAAAAATACTAGGGTTAATGTCCCTGTCATCTTCTACTCCTATCAGTAGTACTGTTAATCGAGCCGAGTATCTGAACGTCGAGTTCGACTCGTGAGGAATTCGAGCTAGGCTCGAGCTCGCTCGATCGTGCGGACGAGCCATGATATACACTTGAACTCGACTTGAAAAATGAAAATGTAGCTCGAACTCGAACTTGAGCTCGACTCGTTTATTACAAATGAGCCAGGCTCGGACGAGTTTGAGCTCGAACTCGAAATATCTGTCCGAACTCGATGCTTGATTTTGAGGCTCAATTTCGCTATATTTGTCCAGCAACTAGTTATTTCGAAGTCCTGCTCCAGCATAGTTCCATTTAATAGATCCAAAAATTTGTCCAGAGTTAGGCTATCCAAAATCAACAAAAATTACTATGATTGGCAACTAATGCCATTCTCATTCAAGAATACATAAACTCTAACCACATTTCATCGGAGACAACATATAAGACCATAACATCCATACAACACAAACTCTAAGAATAAAAGTCAACAAATTCACAAACTACAACCTAATTCCATACGAGACAACATCCATAAGAGCCAATATATCATAACAGGTTTTGTCCAACCAAATAAACACACAAACTACAGCCAAATAACTATGTAAAACACTGCTACATAGCTAAAAAATTGTCCAACTTCAGAAATCACAAGAAAAAGTATAGCAACCCCTTCAGAAATCACAAGAAAAAGTACATTTCACAAGTCCAGCTTTACAAATGACAAGAAACAGCATCACATATTCTAGAAAACAGCTTCAAATGTTTGGAAGATCAATTTCTTTAATTGTAGATGATTCGGGAACATCGAGTGGTTCCTACAAAACGAAAACAAGAAAGTTACAACTCCTAACAAGATAAAATGAGCTGCCAAAATAAACAACTAGTAAAAGATATATTTTACTTACACGAGACTTGTTTTTTAACCCATGAAGATTGCGGATCCAATCATTCCCACAAAGTAGCATTTGCACCGTTTCAACAGACATAGAAGCACGCCTATCATCGATTATTCTACCACCAGCACTGAAAGTAGATTCGGACGCCACAGTTGTAACTAGAATAGCGAGTACATCACTTGCCAATCTTGACAATATAGGAAACCTCCACTTTTCTCCTTTCCACCAACTCAGGACAAATTGAAATTAACGAGTCGAGCTCGAGCCTTAACAAGTTTTCGAACTACTCGTTTGGCTTAACAGCTTTACTTATCAGGCTTTGATTTTTGGCACTACATTTTCCATGGCTTTGATTTTCTCCCTTATTGCCAATATGCTCCACAAATTATCCTGTGGAGGCTGTTAAGAATAAATATGGGGTAATTGAAGTTTCATTCAACCAACGTTTGCCCGATGTAAGAATTGCCACATCATTTTTCTACAAGGATGGGAAAGGAAACTGATCACCACATCATCTGATACGGGGTTGATACGTAACCAATATTCCATAGGCAATATGGTTTCAGATCCATTGACGAAAAAGTGAAATGAGGATTATGCC